TGCCGCTGTATACTGCAGCAGCAGCCATCACTGAGGACAGCTCTAAAAATAGAGCAGACTCTTCACAAGAACACCTGACAAGACTCCCTCTCTCACTCTTTTCCACTCTCTAACACACATGATCACACTTTTCATCTCTCAATCGCTTTGCTTCACTCCTCACTGAATCTAATTACCGCAAAACAAGTATCAGCTCAGCGGCAGCTAAGTCTACCCATCAGCAATCTTCATCAGGCCTAGGGCGTTAAATAACACGCTAAAACAGACACATATAAACACATTAACATAAAATTCTTACATGCACCCTTGTTTGTTTAAAAAGGGCTGAGCCTTGGTAGTGCAGCACTATTAAGCCTAGCTATGAAATCCTAAATTGCTGCCGTTGTTCTCAACTAGTGCAATTCTGTTCTGACAGGGTCATCGGGAAAATAAATGAAACAAACAAGGAAAAATACAACTTAAAGGGGTCATATGACGTTGCTAAAAAACAACATTATTTTGTGTATTTGGTGTAATGAAATGTGTTTATGCGGTTTAAGGCTAAAAAAACACATTATTTTCCACATACTGTACATTATTGTTTCTCCTCTATGCCCCGCCTTTCTGAAATGAAAAGGTTATGCCCCTTACCATATTGTGATGCCCTGTCTGGCCGGAGCAACGAGACAAAAACATTAAAACCCATTATAAACGAGGCATTTGTTGCATCCAGTGAGGACATAATTACTGATTATAATGACTTTTACTGTGTTTTTACGCATTGCATCGCGCCGCGTAAACATAAAACCATGTCTGCATTTGTGATCGGAGAAATGACAAACAACAAGCGCTACTCTACACTGCTCAAAACTCGCGTTTGAATCATCAGTGGCAAATCCTTTAAATATGAAAGCATACTTACAAGCTGTGAGTCAGTATTATTTGTCAGAACACCGGCATTGTAGGCTACTCTCCCAGGAAACAGTCCTCATCCTCCTTAAAATGTGTTGCTCACATCTGAATATTTGGGTTGAAGTGTTCTGGAACAATGTTGTAAATACAACTTAACCACTGATTTCTAGTTGTGTCCTCTTTTGGAAGACCAAACAAAGGCCTTTCAAAACGAAACACACAGCGTCTCCACAGCATGGTGGCAGCAACAATACTACAGCGAGAATCAAAGTTATGCCTTCTTTCTTTGCGTATACATTTGGGTGGTGTTATGCAAATCTTCCCACACAGTGACGTAGACATGTGGGGGCGTGTTTAAACGAGGTATTTTAGGAGGGCGTGGACGAGTCAACTTTTATAAAGAATATCTCTTTGTGTTTGAGACTTTAGTCTTTGCAACTTTAGGGATCTTATCTATTCACGAACAGCTTGTAACACTCCAAAGAGAAAGGAAAACTTGAAATCGCATCATATGACCCCTTTAACATTTAATTGTGCATAGCAAAGTAAATAAGAGTCAAATGGTTCAAATAAATCTTTGGTTACTGATGACATAAGTCATGCTATTAAATGACCTTTTTGGTATTTCGGTGAAAATACGACATCATATAGCTAATTAAGTAAAATGGTAAAATAGAAATATGGCTAAAATTAATACATTAGTTAGTTCAAACAGTATGGAGGGTACATTGCACTTCTGTTGTTGCTTATGCTTTTACAAAACAGTTCCCTATGTCCATGTTATTATCCGATATCATGCTTTGTCATGTTATTATTTTGCTAATTATTGGGTCTATTAGTAATAAATATATTAATATAAAATGTTATATTTATTTTTCTATATTATTTTATTAATTATGTATTTCATACAAAATATGTCCCATAAATATCAAACTGAATTACTGTTCTGGATTGGCACTTGATGTCCAATGTATAATCTGGGTTCTGAAGCAAAATTAGTTGAAAACCAGCAAATATAATCGATTGTTAGTGGAACAATTACCCTTAACCAGTACATAACTCATCCTGCACCATTTATGCTACATGAATGACACTCAAATTATGCAGCTTGTTGGTAAAATTATGTTATTACATGGTTAAATGATCAAAATTATGATTTTTGCCAGCTAGGAAAACAAAACAAAACAAAATTTATATTTTATTTTTATATTTGTGAACAATGTTTAAGAAGAAGAAGAAACAATTAGAATGTTTGATTTTAAGGATTTTTTTCATAATAAACATCAAATTTAGTTACTGTTCTGAATCCGTGTATCATTCGATCATTCGTTTTTTGATTTAATATTGAAAGTAGAAAAATTAGAAAATTTTCATTTTTCGTTCAGGGGTAGAAAAATGAATAAACAGCTTGAATATTCGATTTCTACACATGGGTGGGAATTAAACACCCCTTTCTGCTGATTGGTCAGCAATGCCATCATCAGTTCTTCTGCAGTATCACGCAGCAGAATAATAGTCCTCTGCTGCTGCAGTTGTATTGATTCTTAACACATTTATTGCAACTACATTTCATTTTTTTTCATCAAACAAACAGGCTAATGAACAGCTCGACACAACTCATACCGGGGCAGAGTCTAGACAGGGCTTTCTTCTGTGTAGATATAAATTCTATTCTTTGCATCAGCTGGCATGGCAAAGTATGATATGACAGCTGTCATAGCCTACCCTGCTCACCCAGTAAGTCTGTTTGTTTAATTAAGAAATTAATAAATTTATTTGTTTCAAAATAAATATTTTAAACACTAAGACAAAAAGGAAGGAATAATAAATTGGTTTGGGTATATACAGGCCTATGTTCACGCAAGAACTGTCATTCTGACTGACAACCGGAGAACAACAGATATTAAATAGCCTACTGTTAGAGTTATATAATGTAGTCTTGTGTTTTATTAAAATTGATTATAATTGATATCTCAAAAGGATATGCACTTGTGCGCAGCACGAGCTACTGCGCACTCGCACTGCAATGCAAGATTTTCATAAAATATAATAACTTGCCATTTCAGTTTGTTTCTCACCAAACCCTCAGTATACCTTCAGAATGCTTGGAACATATGCCACGAGATGCATAGGATTATTTTACGACAGATATCATCCGCTAAAAAAAAAAAAAAAACTAAAGTCATCATTCTCTGCCATTAAATTGGCATGTGCGAGCAGGACATTTTTGTGTTATTAAGTAATAAGCCTTTAGAACAACATTACGGTGAGCAGTCACTATAGTTCACACAGTTCCAATAAATTGCGATGGGTTAAATAAACTCAATAAGCAGACAGACGCGACTACAGTAAAGCGCAGACCAGTATTGAAGTGCACAGGAAATAAGCAGCAGTCATATTTAAAGCAGTTTACATTAATATTAAGTACTGATTGACGTTCACTTGGATTTTTTTCCAAAACAATTATTGGGAAATAACTTAATACTCTGTCATTTATAGTCGTATGGTAAAATTTATATTTTTAATTGTGTAACGTTACGTTCAAAATAACTACAAAATGTCATGCCTTTGAAAAATAAAGAGAACAACAGAATGTGCTGCTTCAGCGCGTCTCGGTCTCCTTGAGCATCTTTCCGGCGCATGCCACAAACATCAACCACAGCGAATACTTGTCTTTTAAAAGGCTTCATTTAGATTATTTGACGTTAAATGCATCATATAAGTCACTTTGGAATAAATCACAGTAGGCCTATGTATCATGATAAAAAAAGCGACTTTACAGTCTGGAAATACTTTAGGCTATAGCTAATTATTTCTCGGACCCCCTATCATTTTAAGAACTGCTGGTCTACACAGAAGAAAGACCTGTCTAGACTCTGCCCCGGTACGAGTTGTGTCGAGCTATTCATTAGTCTGTTTGATGAGAAAAATATGAAATTTATAAAATGGGTTATTAATCCGTACAACTGCAGCAGCAGAGGACTATTATTCTGCTGCGTGATACTGCAGAAGAACTGATGATGGCATGGTTTGATCTTCGGCTGACCAATCAGCAGAAAGGGGCATTTAATTCCCACCCACATGTAGAAATTGAATATTCAAGCTGTCTATTAATTTTTCCACCCATGAACGAAAACTAAAATTTAAGCTGAATTCTCGTTTTTCATTTTTTGGAAAAAAACAAAAAACTAAAAAGAAGCCGTTTTCTCATTTTTCTACTTTCAATATTAAATCAAAAAATGAATGATCGAATGATACACGAATTATTGTTCTGGGTTGCCAGTTGATGTCCAATATATAATGTTGGTTCTGAAACAAAACAAAAAATAACAAAGCAAAGCAAAGCAAAACAAAGCAAAACAAAACAAAACAAAAAACAAACCATCACTTTGAAGGAGGGACCCAAGCCATATTTAGGGACTGGAACATGATAGAGACTCGTTTGGCTTGGTCCAGTAAGAACCACCTAGCAGCCACCCTGAACACCCTAACAACTGCATAGCAACACACTAAAAACCATTAATAGCATAGCATAGCAATGCCTCGGGAACCCTAGCAGCAAATTCTCCAATTCTCCACCAGCAATAGCCACTCACATATTCTTTTAAAAATGTAAAAAAATCTAGTTTGTTTGACTAGTTCAGGGGTGGCGAACGTCGGTCCTGGAGAGCCACAGCCCTGCAGAGTTTTGCTTCAACCCTAATCAAACACACCTGAACAAGCTAATCAAGGTCTGAAGGGTTACTAGAAAGCTACAGGCAGGTGAGTTTTAATTAGGGTTGGAGCTGTACTCTGCAGGGCTGCGGCTCTCCAGGACCGGAGTTCGCCACCACTGGACTAGTTATAAGGCAATAATCTCAGCATTCAACCTGAAGGCTTGCAATATAGCATCACCCACTTTAAATCACTGTTAAGACTAAACATTAATTTGGCAACATAAATACATACACAAGACACATCCACACAAATAAGCCATATTGCTATGGTCACAGGGTTATAAACTCTTATCGCACACACATATAAAACCTACACGCATATACAGTATATAATCACAGCTAAGCAGGAAGTGACACACACAGAGGAACAGAAACAGTGAATAAGTACGATACCTGAGCCTTAACGCATTCCTGCGGAGGAGCCAGTATGAGGAGAGAAGCAGAGAAGAGCAGAGTTATTATCAGCCTGGGTTATTGAAGAGCAGAGCAGGCTCAGAGACACCCTGTTAAGCACTTTGCAAGTCATACTACGGGAAGAAGAGAGGGACACATCCTTTATAAAAGCTCAGACGCTATAAAAAACAACAGAGGGTAATGCTCACACACACACACACACACACACACACACAGACACAGACACAGACACAGACACACACAGACACACACACACACACACACACACACACAGACAGAGACACAGACACAGACACACACACACACACACACACACACACAGACAGAGACACAGACACAGACACACACACACACACACACACACACACAGACAGAGACACAGACACAGACACACACACACACACACACACACACACAGACACAGACACAGACACAGACACACACAGACACACACACACACACACACACACACAGCCGAGAAACATGAGGCGGATGCTGAAATAAAAAGCCACAAAGCAAAAATAAAAAGGGAACTCGGGCACTTCAGGTGAACGGAAAAGCGGCTAGTTATGCAACCAAATACAAAGGATTGGAGGTCATTTAGTTATTGAACAACTGAAATGCAATGATCAGCAACCTAGGAGATGCAAAAAACTGGTATTCATTGACTGAATGAGGGTCTCATGATCATTAAAGCCCCACAGTACCGGAGAGGAAGGGAAAAAAGACAGATTTATAGAGACAAAAATGGTACCCAGTGTAATCCAACAACAAGGCAGTCACTGTTCACTGGTCTTAAAGTCACTATTGACAGACAGATTTCATTTAAAGATTCCATGAAATAGCTTGACGAGAGCCGTTTTCTTTCCTATTGAAAGAAGAAATTTGGGCACAGCATACTGAATGGCTTTATCCTTTAATAAAAAGTAAATAAGCTTTAGTTTACATTGGTTTTGAACCATCATTTAGTACTTGCTACTCTAGATGGAGACAGAAAAAGACTGTAAATTCTAAATTATTACTATACAGATTATCTCAAAGCTATGAACTAAAATTACAATGTTGACTTCATGGGGTGTTTACAGCACAATTGTAAGTGTGATATGAGTGTAAATTCAACAGACTGAATGAAAAACATTCTAAACGTTAGGAATTTTCTGTTTTGGTGTGCATGGGACAGACTGTGTGTGTAATATCCAAAAATGTTGTTTAAATCAGTGCAGAAGGAGTGTGGTGCATCCACTAACACTACTGAGATGAATGAACTCTACCTCATCTGTCTCAGAGCTGTTTTGAATCATTGTGCATCTACAAGATGCCTCCAAATACAGTGTGACAAATCTGAATCACGTCTAGGGCAGAAATGCTTAGAGACTTGGAGTTGAGTTCGATTGTGTGAGGCAGGCAGCGCAGAGTGCAATTATTTCACTCTGGTGCCAGAAATTGAATCAAATTAATGCCAGTCAGCAAGTCTCTATAAGGTTATGTGAGATACTCAAGGCTGATACATGATGTAATGTTTGTGAAGTGAATTTTCACCTTCGGCTATGTCTGAGTATGGAAATCCCACTGTGGAAGCACTCTCAAAAACTCACGGATTAGCTGGAATGCCCGTCAGCTTAACATCCAATGCACTGCGGTCCCTCTTGACGACACTACTGTGAACTTTCTTAGCCTGCTACCACTGATCTGAGAACAAAAACACGGTCCAAATCGCTTCCCACAGACCATAACAACAAAAAGGGAGCTGTTTGGGAAAACTGTGCAGCTGAGAAGATACAATGGTGGGAATCATTTTGGCGTCCCCTTCTAATGTATCTCGAGGGAAAAACAATTTAGCTCAATGATGCTTGACGTATTTCGTTGTACTAAACAAAACAAACATTTCCAAACAAGCTGAGGGAACACTGGCTTCTCTCCCGGGGGAATGGGAGGAATACTGGGAATGAACTGCAGCAGATTTGGGGGGGAAAATCAGGAATGTATCTACGTGAGGGTCCAGATTTGAACCTCCACGAAGCATCTGTGTCAGAAATTCACAAGATTTACGCTCAAAACATTACGAAGGCAGAGTCTTGCTGTCAAAACTCCTGGAGATTTAGTAGAATAAAATACAACCTTTTTTTCTCTCTCAAGGTACAAGGTGCAGAGGGAAAGACACATCAAAACTGACCTGAAAAAAATTATGTTTGTCTTTGTAATAAATTAATAAAATAAATAATGAATATAAAATAAAACGCATATGTTAGTAATATGTCATCAAAATAAAATTAAATAAAATTAAAAATAAAATAGATTTTTGCCAATACTTCATTTAATACTGGTTAATGTAATAACATAACAGCAAATAATAATAAATATAAAAACAAAAATAAAATGTATGCATTAGTAATATGTCGTCATCAAAACAAAATTAAATAATAAAAAAATGCCAATACTTAATTTAATGCAGGTTAATGTAATAACATAACAGCAATTAATGACAAATTTGAAAAGATAAATGTTAGCATTGGGATATATTAAGAGGATAAACTTGACCTTTAGCTTTAAAAAGTCAAAAAAATTGGTGCCAGCGAAGGGTGTAACCACATATCTAAGATTAAGTGAATCAAATGTAATTTTAACAGTTATCGAATGAAAAAAAAAACATTATGGTTGATAACTAATGTAAATATTGGATATCTGAATATTTTATTTAACCTGAACAAATGTAAATATACAAATACATAAATGTTTTCTTTCTTTCCCTCTGCTGTCTCTTTATTCAGCTAGGGCTCGAGGTATATCACACATACAGATTGTAGCAGTGCAGTGGATTCTCACTTCAACCTGGCCAGAGCACAGTGGGGACTGAGTGCATAAAACACCAGCACATCTTCAGCCAACACGACATACTGACTGCAAACACATAGGCAGAACACCAGCTAACACCTACAGAGAGACCATATATCAGCCACCACAGCACAACAAGGTAAATGAGCAGCTTTAATGGAAACAAGGAAAGCACCTTGGACATACGGGCACAAACAAATTGCGTTGCTGCTAGGTAAAAACAACATTTAAGAGACTGAAAGAACAGTCCAAAAGTAAGGTATGAGTGTCATTTGATGCCAACTTGATTTTTCGTCCATTAGTGTAAAAGAGGCAGTAACGAGCTGAAGAGAGCTTTCACTGCCTATTTTTACATTTTATAATGAGCCAGCACCCATTTTAAACCTAAACTTGCTTTTTAAAAATTCAGACTAGCTTTCTGATTTTTATAAAATAATGTACTATGCTGGCTTTAGTTTTGAGCAGCATTTTTTTCAAAGTCATTGGCTACATGCGAAATGCAAGCTTTCTTACCATTTAACCTGTTGTCGGGGGAAAAACAGTATGTGAAATAACTACAAAATTATCTGCAGTGCTGCACACTTGCTAGCTTCCTAACTGTAAATACTTTTTTCTGTTAATTTTTACAAACTGATAAAATCTTATGATGTTGCCACTAGGGTTGCAAAGGGGTGGACAATTTCCGGAAACTTTCCAAAAATCCCTGGAATATAAAAAAAAAACCTGGAAAGTTTCCAAAATGTCTGGAATGTTTCCTAAAATGTATGGAAATTTTCCACATTTTTGCAACCCTAGTTGCCACTGGTGCTTAAGTTGTTTTTAACCCAGAATATTCCTTTAAGGCAGAAGATAAAACAAATAAATGAACAACCCCATGAGGATGGGGCTGCGCTAGCTAAATGAACAGATTCTTACAGTAAAAGAAGAACCAATGCAAATATAGTAGCAGAGCAAAGTTCATAGGTAGGAGACAAAAACCTTGTTCCTTTCACATTGGTAATACAAGGAAAGAGAAGTGGTTAATGTTACCAAAAAGAGTGCCAACAGACTTCCAGTAGTCTTTCAGTAATCTAAAGCTTTACATAATGTTCCTGTAGCGTAAGTTTTGTGAGAGGAACATTTTGGTACACATCTGATGCACTGCTCTGGTTGTAGTGAAGAAATGTTAGCTTATGTTATGTTTCGCTGCAGCAGTCAAATACATTGAATATATTACTAGCCAATGTTATGCGTAGACAGTGCTGGACGGTATGACAGTATATACCTTGCAACGTTAGAAATGCATCAAGTGGTACAGAATTTCCTGAACCATTTATACACCATAGATACTGTATATTAGCATCATTATTTGCACATAAAAGTGACATAAAGAGATGAACCTGCACATATTAGCTATTTTACAGTTTTAAATGTGACTCAGTCAGAATTAAGACTCTTGGCTAGTATGTTTAATAATATTGAGTTATGTTATAAAATGTGAAGCTGTTTGTGCACAGATAACATTTGTTTAAAAAATATCTTATTTTTGGTCAGCATCAGCATTTTTATACCAATAAAGCTTTAATATATGTATATAATGTAATTCATTGGGTTATCCAAAAAAAAACCTGCATGATTATTAGTACAGATATTACAAATATCTATTGCAAAGCTGAATTATCAGTGTCACATGATCCTTCAGAAGTTATTCTAAAATGCTGATTTGGTGCTCAAGAAACATTTCTTATCATCAATGCTGAAAACATATTTTTTTTGCTGAAAAATATGGTGATTGTTTAGGGTTCTTTGATAAATAGACAGTTCAAAAGAACAGCATTTATTTGAACATAAATCAATCTTTTGTCAAATTATAAATGTCTTTCCTGTCACTTTTTTTTTTTTCCTGTTGAATTTGAATTATCCAAAAAATAAGCATAACTATATGATAATTAATACCATTCTTAACTGAAAATAACTATATTATGATACCATGATCTAAAATCACTGATATTGTAATATCAGATTTTATCATACCATCCATCCCTATGCATAAATAACATTGCAAACAAAAAACAAGCACTTGCAATGACACATTTGCCAGCATGTAAACAAACTGGAAAGCAAAGCCGGACAGGTGAGGACCAGGAACGCCGACAGTCATGCAGGGGGAGGGGCAAAAGATAAACTGTACAGGTAGAGTTAAAGCATATGACTAACCGTATGGTATCCCCGTGCAACGGGCGGCTTGCCGGCGGGATAGGGGTCTACGGTGTCGATGATGGTCTGTCGCTCGCCCTTCTGGTTGATCTTGCGAAACCTTCGGCGGGACTGTCGGTGTGATGCCTGCCGCTGGAAATACTCCTCATTTTCATCCATATAGTCCACCTGCAAACGGAGGAGCAATTTGAGTGAGACTCCCTCTCTCTCTCTCTCTCCTCACCCCCCACCCCCTCCCACCCCTCTTACTGGCGCTGTGTAAAAATAGAAGTGGGTGTGTGAGCCTGCCTGTGTGTGTGTGTGTGTGAGTGTGAGTGTGTGTGTGTGTGTGGGCTGAGCCTCAAACACCTACGTCAAAGAGAGGCGCACAGCAGACAGAAAGGAAAGGTAGAAAAGGGGAGATGTAGTTTCAGAGGAGCAGCTTGCAAGGGGCTTTCGGAGCTGAGTTGTGCATGTTATGCCGGTTTAACCTTGAAATTAAGAGTTCAAATAGCAGACATGTACAAAAACCAAACCGGATCAATATGTATTATTTATCTTTGCTGGGTATTCTGTCACTGTGACACCTAAAAATTAAATCAAAACGTGTAAACTGTCATTGGCAGGTCTCTGAATGACTGTGAACATGGGTGGCATCATCATACACATGATGGGTATAAGTTGCATATAAAAAGGGCTGGCCACTGTGACATTACGCCATAAAAAGTGACATGATTATCCCTCTGCCTTATTTTGCTTTGGGATTACACATCAAATCTCTCGCTACCGTACCAACTGCTGCTATGGCAACTGCCGGCGAGCGCAAAGCAGTGGGAATATATTGGGCGGTGTGAGCGAGTGAGAGTACAGTATCTATATCCTGCCTCGGCCCGTAATTACAGGGCAGCATCGGCCAGTAATAACAGATGACTTACCCAACAAGGGCACCATCAACTGTCGAGGACAGTGGCCATCACCCAAACAGGAGATTACGATTATGCATTTGGCAGATGCTTTTAAACGACTTCTAGGGAAAAGTCCATTATGAAATCCATTTGAATTTTTTCCCAAATTCACTTTTTCTGGATTTCATTTTTTTTTTTCAATTAAAATTTTTCTAGACTCTGTTTTAATGGTTAAATAAAATTGTATTAATCAAAAATCTAATTAATTGATATCATAAAATGTACACAATTTAACAGCAATTTAATTGAAAGTTTAACAAAAATTTAATTTTTAAGTTAAACCAAACTTTAAGTTTCTCTGTTTATATGATTTGATGATAGTTTTTTCTCAAAATAAATGGTAAAATGCTCATGAAGTGACTCTCAGAACAGTTCAAGAGATTATGTTCATGAGTTAATGTACTCATATTGAAGCGGTAGAGGTTGAAAACACTGTGAGCATCATGCGCGCATCAGTATGTGTATAGTAAACGAAACCGTGCGCCTGCATCATTCATTCACACAGAGATACGCATAACATGCAGGATTCATATTTAAATAGTATTTTGCAGCTTAATATTCACAGAAACTAGTCCATATCGCATTTTGATTTAAGTGTACTGACCTACATTTGATTTATCCATCCAATATTTGGCAAATTCCGTGACATTCCACATAATACGGTAAATAGCATTTTTATGACTGGATTCCGCGATTCCATCTGCATTTTCCGCATCTTAGAAATCATAGAGCCATAGACTTAGAGGGCATTTTAACTAGGCCTATATGGTTTATCAGTCCATGTATTTCTTGGGATTGGAACCCATGACCCTGATGTTGCTGGAGTCATGTTCTATGGATTGAGCTACATACAGTCATATGAAAAAGTTAGGACACCCTATTGTATTCCATGGTTTTCCTTATCAGGACAACATATACAAATAACTGGTCCTTTCCAGGTCTTAAAATTTGGAAAATAAAACCTCAAATGAACAACAACACATAACATATCGCACCGTGCATAACATCGTTTATTTAACAAAAATAAAGCCAAAATGTGTGACAAAATTAGGGCACCCTTACTGTTAACATAAGAATTAAGAGGGTAAGTAGCAGTCAGGCACTGATAATCAAATGCCTTTGATTAACTGATCATCAGCAAGTGTGAGCACCTCTATAAAAGCAGATGTTTTGTCAAGTTTGCTGGTCTAGAGCCTTCAGGTGAGTGTTAACACAATGCCAAGGAGGTAAGACATCAGCAATGATCTTATAGAAGCAATTGTTGCTGCCATCAATCTGGGAAGAGTAATACAGCCATTTGCAATCAATTTGAAGTCCATCATTCTATAGTGAGGTAGATTATTCACAAGTGGAAAACAGACACCAATCCTCCCAGGAGTGGACATCCCAGCAAATGTACCCCAAGATCAGACCATGTAACGCTCAAGAGAAATGGCAGACAACCCAAGAACTTCACCGCAGACTCCACAGGCCTCAGTTAACATGTTAAATGATAAAATTCATGACAGTACAGTTAGAAAAAATATGGGACAAGTATGGCATGTTTGGAAGGCTTGACAGAAGAAAGCTTCTTCTATCTAAAAAAGCATGGTAGCACGGTTTAGGTTTGCAAAGTTGCATCTGAACAAACCACAAGTCTTCTAGAACAACGACCTTTGAACAGATGAGACCAAAGTTGAGATGTTTGGCCATAATGCACAGCGCCACGTTTGATAAAAACCTAACAAGCATATTAGCACTAACACCTCATACCAAAAGTCACACATGCTGGTGGAGGGCTGATGATTTTGGGCTTGGTTTGTAGCCACAGTACCTGGGTACCTCACTGTCATTGAGTCGACCATGAACTCCTCTGTATACCAAAGTATTCTAGAGTCAAATGTGAGGACATCCGTCCGACAGCTAAAGCTTGGCCAAGATTGGGTGATGCAACAGGATAATGATCCCAAGCAAACTAGCAAATCTACAACAGAATGGCTGAAAAGAATCAAGGTTCTGCAATAGCCCGGTCACAGTACAGAGCTCATCCTGACTGAAATCAGTGGTGAGAGCTGTGTATAAACAAATGCCCACAAACCTCAATAAACTGAAGCAACGTTGTAAAGAAGAGTGGGCCAAAATTCTTCCAGAATGATGTGAGAGACTGATAAAGTCATACAGAAATGATTACTTCAAGTTATTGCTGGATCTACAGGCAACTGAATCATAGGGTGTCGTAACTTTGTCACACATGGCTTTTCCATCTTGGCTTTATTTTTGTTAATCAAATAATGACACGGTGTGAAATGTCATGTCATATTGTTCATCTGAGGCTTTATTTCCAAATTTTAAGAAATTTTATTTTAATCTTTATTATCTCCAGATACAGAAAACCATGGAATTCAATAGGGTGTCCTAACTTTTTCACATGACTATATATACTGTACATACTACCATTCAAAAGTTTGGGGTTGGCAAGATTTTGTTTTTGAAAAAAGTACAGTTTATGTTCATCCAAGGTGGCATTTATTTGCCCCAAAAAATAAAATAAATAATAATAATACTGTTGCTCATTTCTATTATTGTTTTATGTATTTATTTATTTTTTTATATATTTTAAAATGTAATTAATTCCTGTGATGGCAAAGCTAGATTTTCAATGCTTAAAAAATCATTCCAAAATTCTGATTTGGCACTCAAGAAACATTTCTTATTATTATGAATGATGAAAGGAGTTATGTTGTTTTTTTGTTGTTGTTTTTTTAGGAACTTTGATTTATATCTTTGATTAACAGAACAAATAATTTGAGATAGAACTATTTTGCAACATTTCAAATGTCTTTACTGTCACTTTCGATCATATAAATGTGTTTTTGCTGAATAAAAGTATAATTTTTTTAATACCTTACTGACAACCAACATTTGAACAGTAGTGTACTCAACATGCAGAAACATATATAGGAGCCCATTGAGTCACATGTACACTCTTAAAAATAAAGGTGCTTCAAAAGGTTCTTCAAGCGATGCCATAGAAGAACCATTTTTGGTTCCACAAAGAACCATTCAGTCAAAGGTTCTTTAAAGAACCATCTCTTTCTTACTTTTTTATAATCTGAAGAACCTTCTTTCACCACAAAGAACCTTTTGTGAAACAGAAAGGTTCTACAGATGTTAACGGTTCTTTATGGAACCATTTAGACAAAAAGGTTCTTCTATGGCATCGTGAAGCACCTTTATTTTTAAGAGTGTAGGCATATTTCCATGCCACCCCGAGAGCTTAACCAAATCCAAGGCTGCAAATGTAGATAGGGAGGGTCTTTCTTTACTCATGAACACACATCATGAACTGAATATGGAATATATTAGGACGCACAGAAGTGCTTGGGTTCTTAAATATAATCGTTTTAGGTTTTTTGGCAAGGCGAGAGCACTGAATTTAGGCCATGTTGAACATTAACCGCAGTGGGCGGAGTAATTTAAGAGGAACAAATCCACAATGAAATTTGCTTGTGGTAAAATGTAAACAAGATGCCAAATTCAAACTGAGAAAGAGAGTACAGAAGTGGAGGAGTACAGAAACATGTATATGCCATTTATCATTATAGCAGTGGTTCCCAAATGTAACTTTAGTCTGGCTCACCTGATGCTAAACAAAACTAGAAAGCACACAATTAAACTGCTCTCCTAATATAAATAAAAACAAATTCAATATAGCTGTTACTAAAACGTCTACAGTAAAAGCTTGTAGCTTGTGTTCAGACAGCCACTTTATTTTCCCCATCAGTCTAAAAAAAAGATCCCACAAATATTGATTGCTATATTCATTAAATATTTAAATAATATTTATAGTTCACAATGGCAAAAAGACACTGAATTTAAGTACTTAGTATGTTAAAATATTCACAAAGCTGATTTCAGGTGCATTTAGGCATTTACAGTATATAAGACATGTCTTTGCGATTAAATGCACAACATCTTAGAGTGTTTCTATCTCAAAGAAATAGACCATCAAAAAATAAGACCACCTAGATAAACTAGTCAGCTTATGTGCAAAGTAACAGTCAGTTGTTTGACAGTCGACCATCGTTTCCTATCGAACCATCACATTTTCTTCGGAAAAGGGTTTTTAAGTCAGTGCATTGGGAAGAGCTGGAACTGTTATCTGCCCATGTAATGTCAAATCTGACCTTGTGTGTACCCCTGGGAGTAAAGCATAGCACACTGTGGGAACCACTGGGGAAGAGGAATGAAACTACAGCACAAAACAGCAATTACATAGTGTAATTAGTAAGAGTATGGAGTTAAGATGATTATCTGGTCCATGATTACTCACCACAATCATCTCGGATGGCTCCAGAACGATGCACTCGCATCCACGGCGTAAACTCCCAGCAGACCTTTTCCCAAAACTAGAGGAGAAGAACAGGAGAGAGAAAGGTTATAAACTGCTCGACCAATTATGGAATCCTGAGATTCTGTGGGAATGAAAGCGTGCTCAGAAACCGAGCCGGAGGAGCACATATCCACACACTTGTGGCAGTGTTCCTGGTCTAGGCAGTAAGGCTCCACTAGGAAAGAAACTACGACCAGACTGGAAAAGTCCACCAAATGACATCATGGCCTAATGAAAGAAGTACAGTGCAAAGTGATGGAGCGTTTGAGTAGCAACACAAAAAACTCTATTGAAAATAGAAATGGAAATGTGAGGTGGAGATCCACACAAGATGAAGGTAAATACTGACTCAAGGTGGACATGCCTTAACATTTTTAAATAGATACACATTTGTGCCCCTGGACCACAAAAGCAGTCATAAGTAGCACAGGATTATTTAGAGCAATAGCATTGTATGGGTCAAATTTATCGATTTTTATATTATGCCAAAAATCATTAGGATATTAAGTAAAGATCATGTTCCATGAAGATATTTTGTAAATTTCCTACCTTAAATATATCAAAACTTAATTTTTGATTAATAATAATATGCATTGCTAAGAACTTCATTTGGACAACTTTAAAGGTGATTTTCTCAATATTTGGATTTTTTGGCACCCTCGGATTCCAGATTTTCAAATAGTTGTATCTCAGCCAAATATGATCATATCCTAACAAATTATACATCAATGAGAAGCTTATTGATTTCAGATGATGTATACATCTCAATTAAAAACATTTTTTTGACTGGTTTTGTGGTCCAGGGTCACATATGTGGACTTCAATAAATCACTTGCAATGTGGAGTTTATTTATCACTTGCAGTCGTGGCCTAATGGATAGACAGTCGGACTTGTAACCCGTGGGTTCGTGGGTTCGAGTCTCAGGCCCGGCAGGGATTGTAGGTGGGGGGAGTGAACCAGCGCTCTCTCCAGCTTCAATACCACGACTGAGGTGAGACCCTTGAGCAAGGGACCGCACCCCCAACTGCTCCCTGGGCAGCGCAGCATTGGCTGCCCACTGCTCCAGGTGTGTGTTCACGGTGTGTGTGTTCACTGCTGTGTGTGTACACTTGGATGGGTTAAATGCAGAGCACAAATTCCGAGCATGGGACACCATACTTGGCCACACATCACTTCACTTTCACTTTCTTGACCCCATTCCCTCTTCTTCACACAATGTCTTTACTGTACTAAAAGCAAAAAGAAAATAAACAGGAAAAAGGCAAAATTAAGTAAAACAAAATAAAATAAAATAGTTGGTTAGATGTGCACATCAAACAGAAATGTAATTTGTTTGTTTAAGCATCTCAACTGAGTCTGGTATAAAAACACAGTGAGTTTGGGATGGGACTAGACAGGTGGGGTACTTGACATACTTTTTTTTCCAATTCTGTTTGGTGCTGTTTGAACACTTAACCTTTGTATCTGGTCTGTTGATTTACCATTAATGCTGCTTGTAAGACACTTTTTGCAGCTGAATGAGCTGCCAGGTGACAATATGGTCCAAAGTTGACACATGCTTACAGCGGTTTAGCTGGGTGAGAGGTCAGAAAAACCGCTACACATACTTCAAAAAACTGTGACTGACAAAGCAAGGATGACTTTACTAAAGAAAAACTCAACTACATAAAACATAATTTCTTGCAATGACAATTTGCATGCTGTTTTAAATGTTTACATTAGTAAAACAACACTTTCTGTTATATAGCTATTTGTACACTGTATGGGTTACGGTAGAAGCGCAGCTGGCAGATATAGTAACTATCTAATATGGTTAGACTAACAGGTGGGATCCCCTCTATATACATGTTCCTGATTCTAAGACCACACACAATGAGCACTTTGTGTTGTAATGCTGTTTGACTTCCCTTACAGGCTTCTATTCAAATACAAAACCTCAAGACTCAGTGTTTTCATTCATCGTTCACGATATAGTTGCTGATACGGCGGGTATAGTTTGAAACCACACTGAAAATCAGGGATTCCAAGTCTAATTTAAACTGCAAAATGCAATAGGAACAAAAACAATGGAATACATTTTCACCACACTTATAGATTACAGTTTTTTTTTTGTTTAGTTTTTTGTTTAGTTTTTCTCTGGCTTATAAAATCCCAAAGTCTAAAAAAAGAAATCATTATTCCCTGTAGAAGGCAGTAAAAAAAAAAAACTGTAAAAATGATATTAACACTAGGCATTCATATAAAGTATATTAACGTCAGACACCACACTATGTTCTTTGGGAATTGAACTCCCGGTGAGACATGATGCCCACCCAGTCGGCCCCTGCATTCCATATTATACAACATTCCGGGTGTCTGGAATGTGATTCTGTGACGAACGTGGCAGGCACTCACACACAGCAAAGAACATAGGGGTCTCCAAAGTAAATAAGCCTCTTTTTCATCTCTCCATATTAAACAGAGCAAAGATTAAAGAGCTGTTATGCAAGTGCTGTCGGTGGGAAAGTCAGAGGGGAGAAGGAATACATTGGAAGGCTTAAGGACATGCTGAAGTACAGTAGAATGGTAATGCAGTAACAGGATTCTACTGTAACGCTTCAGTGAGTGCTAAACAGCTCTGCTGCCTCTCAAATCTGCACTTGCATGGCAACATACATGGCAACATAAAGCAAAGTAAACAGCATTTCAGGAGCACCAAAGCAACCCCAAACTGTAACTAGATATAATGCAGGAATCGAGATGCTTGAGGCTTGATTAGCAAAGCATGACACTTGAGGTATGATTACTTTAACGAGCATTTTAGCATTAGTATCAATAAAATTAATTATAATAAAATTAATTAAAAAAATACAAAATCAAATAATAAAATATATAAATATTTATATAAAATATATAAAAATGAAAAGTCCTTTAAATAGTTTGTTGGAAAGTGTGTTCATAAAAAAATATCTAAAGTCATTTCTTAAAGTGATCTAATTGTGCACTTAATACACGAAATAGTACACAATACGTATAAAAACAAATAAATAAAAAACACCTGTACCTGAAGAGGAGAGAGTTGTTACAAAATATGTCCAATGAAATCCATAAACATTCCCGGCTTCTTGAAAATCATGCATTCAGTTCCATACTTCTACCTCAAATGTGTTTTTAATGTTCTTTCTTAATATTCATACCCAGACACTGCTACCACACTAAACACAAACACGATTTCCTGAATGCCACATGATAATCCAACTTCACGTACACTGCACTCTGTTCTGACAGCTCCGTCTACCGCCTTCATCTTACGAGAGTATGTGTTGGGGAATGTGCGTTCTTCAGAGTCAGTAGTGATCGACTGAAGCCAACATTCCTGCCTGCCCCTTACTGCCTGTGGAGCCAAGAGGGAGGGGTTGACCTCTACCCACAAACAACATGACCTCCCAACTTAACTCAAGACCAGTAGTGATCAGAGTGAGAAACACCCAGAAAAACTCTAAAGGGCAACCTGGGGAATAGTAAAGTAAAAAAAAGGATACCTTTGATTCAAAAAGCACTATTCATAATCCTAAAAATGTAAAACAATCATAATTAATTATTATAATTAATAAACAATTACAAAAACTTAACTATAAATAAAAGTTAGCTGGAGATTGAAATGCAAAGTTAAGAAATTGTGGCTAAATAACAAATGAGGCATGTTGATACATGTAGTGGAGTAACTTGTATCAGATATTCAACATATCAGATGTTGCCGATTATATTCACATAAAGTAAATTCATATCACTTCAGGGAGGAACAGTAAGGCTTTCAAAGCACTTCCATGGGAAAACAACCTGGGAGTTTGCATGTGGTTAAGTGGAAAAAGATAATAATAAAAAAACACATCTTACTGAAACTGAAAGAATTTAAAAGCTTGCATTTTAGCAAAACTTTTTATCTGTAAATGAATAAAAAAACATGTAAAATGTGAGCATGTTACTAAATTCAACTCGATTTAAAAGTATCTGGTTTGTTTTGTTAAACTATAGTGCAAAGAAAACAATTTGAAGGACATGTAGTGTGAACACTTTAGTACAAATCATTAAAAAATAATTTAGTACATAAAAATCTAGTAGCGAAATATCATTTAGTACCATGCACCATATCAAAGTATCATCTCAGCTAACAAAAATATGTTCTAAGAACATTTTCCTAACATTCTTATTAAGGTATAAAAATTGTATTTATGAATATTCTCTGAACATTTACAATAGGGCCTTTCGCACCGCGGGAACCTTTTCATAGTACCAGAACTAATTGTGGAACTACCCACTTTTTGGCGTTTTCGCACCGCCGGAACTGGGTGCGATTTTAGTACCGGACTGCCTTTTTCGAGAACCAAATTAGCTCCTACTCCGGAGCAGGGTCTAACCAGCACAACTGGTACTAATCGTGACGTAAGTAGACATTGATTGGCCAAACGCGTACGAGAACGCCCTCACCCGCCATGATTTAAAACGCAGTGTAAACATACTGTAAACATTGTCAACTTATTTCGCAAGTATGGAGAACAGCGATAGATGGACGGACGCTGAAGTGCAGGCACTTGTAGCAAATGTAGCACTGTCAGTTGTCGTTGGAGATTCTTAGTCCTCCTTTCCGTTCTTTCAATCGCTTTACGTATACGTCGACTTTCCATGTCCACTGTGAAACCCGCGAAACACAACAAAAACACAGCTCCGATCACAGCGTCCTCCATCCTCCTGTTATTAATGTTGTTCTTCTTTGTTTCTGTTGTTGAACACCGCGCACAAATGACAACGCTGTCGACCGGCTTACGTCACTTCTTAGTACACACTCTCAGTAAATGGTGCTGGGAAATAGTTCGCGCAAAATCGTCCCAGTACTTTAGTACTGTACATTTAGCTCTGGAACTAAAGTGGTGCGAAAGGCCCTAATGTTACATTTTTAAAAGTTTCAAAAACATTTCTGGAAGATAAATGGAACGTTCAAATTTTATAATTTTGCAAACATCACAGGATCACTTTTGAATGTCCTTCTGAAAAAAGTTTAAAAAACATTCAACATTAAAAAATTAAATTAAAAAAAAGTTAGACAAATGTGCTAAAGTTTTGATAACCTTCTATTAATATTACTGGAAGAATGTTCATAACTTTGAGATAATCTTGCCAGAACATTAGCCAAAGTTCTGAGAATGTTCCCTGTTAGAACAGATAGTATGCCATATTTGTACCATGGTAAAGCATGAGTAAAAATCTCTAGGAAGTCTTGCAGTCAGGAAAAGTTAAGAAAACAGTGGATTTACTGGAGGATCAGATTTAACAGAGTTTATAACAATAGAATCTATTGTTGGTAGTTAAGCCTGTAAAACCATTTTAAAGGGCTTGAAATTGTTGCATAAGTACTGGCATGAGCACCAGGTGGTACTGCCACCTCAAACTCAACTCTGACTTCTGCCAGCACTTTGTACACCATTATGCTTTTAATGATTGAAATCGCTGTGCAATTAAACACTTGCATGCTGCATTTGTAGTGAGTGAGAGTTTCAGGTGCGATTAAACAGAAGTGTTACACAAAATCTGCATTAAAATGAGAGTGTTTTTGTTTAGAAAGAAACTGGAAGAAAAGAACACACGTCATGTGAAAGAAGCCGATAAGATGCTACTGCAGATCTGGTCTGTCTCAGACAAGAATCAGCACACAGGGTAGCTGTGATGCCTCTTGGGGGGAAAATGGCCATTTGCGAGCACTATCAAGACATTGTTTATGAAGTGCACCGCTGTCCTGTTGGTTTTCATTCACTGGACGCCTGAGTCACAGTCTATTACAGGAGCAACACACCACAGCTCTCTCCATGAAGCCAAATGAGAAAGCGAGGGAGGGAGAGACCTGCTTTTTTCATTGCCATGGTGATAAAATGACATTCTAAACTGCAAAAATTCTAGTGCATCTCTGTCAAGTGTTTTTGTACGGCTTGCTATGCTTTTAAATTACGCCCAGTCAATATGTTGCTGTCTGTATGTACACTTAATTTCTCTCACACCAAGTTCTATGTTACTACAGGTAGAATGTAGTGTGCCAAGCAAAATATTGATCCTTGATAAAGACGGTAGTCTTCATTTGCATATGCGGCCTTGCTAAAGTAGTCAAATTATGATACTTTCAAGAAGGGATGCACTGATAAGATTTTTTTTTTGGCTTATATCGATACCGATTTTAACAAACAACTATTGGCCTATTCTGATTCCGATACCGAAATTGCTACATTGCATAAAGCAGGGCTTAAAAACGAGAGAGAGAGAGAGAAAAAAAGAATGGTTCACTCCAAGCAGAATTGGTATTTGAACGCAAATTTTTTTTCCTTTCGTTTTGTTAATCTGTTAATGATATATTCCTTTTTGTGTGGCCTATATAGTTTTATACCGTTTTCTCCGTTCACAGAAACATTACAGGTGCGAAATGTGACCTTGTGTGAATCCGTGTTCTACACTGGTTTCAAACAAAAAGCTGCATATTACCTGCCATGCATTTTCACTTAAATGTAGGCCTAATGCTTGGCAGTTCGTGACATATCCTCGGATAAACTCTAATGCTGGTGCATTGCCATTGCGACTTACCTGTGATGAATTTACAGCTGAGAGCAGGCATTTCACTTGTTGGATGCGTCAGCGTCACGTTTGCATAGGCCGTACTATGCCGTCTGACAAACTATATATTTGTACAGATTTTATTTTGTTTTGGCAAGTATTTAATTATTTTGCCCAGAGAAAAATGTTGGATTAAGCAACAGATATGCAACTCATTGTCTCCATGCAGTTAATTAATAAACCATCGGTATCAGCCCTTTTCATGCTATTTCCGAAATGCTGATGGCTTTAAAATAATAAAAAAAACAGCCGATAAATATCAGTGGCTGATACATCAGTGCATCCCTACTTTCAAGTTATGATGTTTGCATTAGGGAACTGATTACATGCCAGGGTCAGAAATTAAAGGGATAGATCACTCAAAAAATTAAACATCTGTCATCATTTACTCACCGTCATTTTGTTTTAAACCTTCATGACTTCCCATGAGCTGAATTGTTTCATAATTTATAAATTTTTCAAAATTGATACTGTTATTGAGCTGAACTGAATTAAAGGGGTCATATGATGCTGCTAAAAAGAACATTATTTTGTGTATTTGGTGTAATGAAATGTGTTTATGTGGTTTAAGGTTAAAAAAACACATTATTTTCCACATACTGTACATTATTGTTTCTCCTCTATGCCCCGCCTTTTTGAAACGCGTCGATTTTTACAAAGCTCATCGGTCTGAAAAAGCGAGGTGTGCTGTGATTGGCCAGCTATCCAGTGTGTTGTGATTGGCCGAATACCTCAAGCGTGAGACGGAAATGTTACGCCCCTACCATACTATTGATGCCGTCTCCCGGAGCGTCAAGACAAAAAACATGAAAACCCATTATAAACGAGGCATTTGTTACATCCTGTGGGGACATAATTACGGATTATAATGACTTATACTGTCTTTTTACGTGCTGCGTTGCATCGCGCCGCGTAAACAAAACCATGTCTGCATTTGTGATCAGAAATGACAAACAAGCACTAACGTTACTCTACACTGCTCAAAATTCGCGTTTGAATTATCAGTGGCAAATCCTTTAAATGAAAACGTACTTGCAGACTGTAAGTCAGAACAGCCGGCGGCGGGCTAGCGTGAGCTGAGGCGGCGGGCAAGCGTGAGCTGAGGCCGCGGGCAAGCGTGAGCTGAGCAGCACTAAGTTGATGTATTTCCTCAGTGACCAGCACAGATCAGCTCTAGGCATGACAAAGCGGATATCGTCCTCTTTTGGAAGACCAAACAAAGTAGTTTCACTTTCACAACTCACAGCGTCTTCATGACATGGCGGCAGCAACAATATTACAGCGAGAATACACACCTTCTTTCTTTGCGTGAACATTTGGGCGGTGTTATGCAAATCTTCCCACATAGTGACGCAGATATGTGGGGGCGTGTTAGAACGAGCCGTTTTAGGTAGGTGTGGTTAACTCTTAACTTTTATAAAGAATATCTCTCTGGATTTGAGACTTTAGTCTTTGCAACTTTACAGATCTTCTTTATGCACCAGGAGCTTGTAACGCTCCAAAGAGAAAGGAAAAATTGAAATCGCATCATATGACCCCTTTAACATTCAATTGTTTCGAGTTGAATTACAACACAACTGTCTTTTTAGAGCTGCTTTACAGCAGAATTTGGATTTGTCTCATATTTGATGAAGTTGGCCTCATTGATTCTGTTATTTTCCAGTTCACTTCTGTAAAGCTGATTAGAAACAATCTGTATTGTGAATTGTACTAAATAAATAAAGGTGACTTAACTTTCCTTAATTCAACACAAAGGAGACTCAAATGCACTATAAACATATCATAAAAGTAGTCCATGCAGTATGTGTGTCATATATTTAAATCTTCTGAAGCAGGAAAAAAATAACAATTCGACAACTCTCATTAATCTAATTATACTGAAATTTTATTCAGATATTTTATTTTGATGAATTTATTATATTTAAAGTATTTGAGACATTATGACATAGCATTTCTGTAAAATAAAAAAATGTGGCACTCATAAAAGTAAAAAAAAAGAAAAATGCATCTGAAAGTCCAAACATATTGCAAAAATTGCCCCTTAACTAAAAAGAAGAAGAAGAAGAAGAAGAAGAAGAAGAAGAAGAAGAAGAAGAAAAAAACATTTAATACAGTTGCTCTTTGAAGGTACTTTTATTAAATGCAAATTTAACTAAATTGGTCCCAGTCACATTTTTGGATGTGCGTATCTACACTTGGACCATTTAAGTGGCAAACTAGGATGAGGACATGCACGGAGATGGATATTTACTCTTCCTAAGGTTCAATGTTAATTATTTTTTTTCTTTACATTTCCAAATCAGTTCCAAATCATGTTCATGTTCCAAATCATTCGTGAGAACTTTTAGAAAAAGAAGGAAGGTACGAGCTTAACACACATAACAGGTTAATGGAAATGGTATTTAGGGTGTTCTAATTTCTTAGTGTGAATATTTGATATTTGATGGCATTCGGGTAAGGGACGTACCTGGAGCGTGGCAGGAACATGGACTCTTTGATGAAGACCGATCCAGAAAGCAGAATGTACCAACACGTGCCAATGTCATCCGGACTGTGTGAGACAGAAAGAGAAAAATATCACACAGACTCCAACAGGAAACAAAACATGCTTATTTCTAACATGCGGCCTGGTTTGCTGTATGGTTAGAGCAAAAAAAAGCTGACACAGACTCACATAACCTCAGTGCTTAATGTAAACACTCTGTCATCATTTTGGTTCTGTGATACACTCCTTTGCACAGACAAAAGACGACATAAGGAAATTCCCAGAGGAAACAGTGGACAGAGTGATCAAACAGCCAAGTGCGAAACTCACACCATCTCTCTTTCTCTTGTAAGTGATGCCAGTTGAAATGTGACTGCTTGATTTATGTGTGTGTGTAGGAAATAACACACTGACACACAATCCCCCTTAACACTCCTTTTTTTCAGGTCACAGAGCAGTCAGGAATGTTAGACATCTTCCGAGGCATGCTGGGTCGACGTCCTTCTAGCTCCCGGCGAGCCCTGCTCCATGTCTGCCTCTCCAGTAAGTGTTAAAAGTGGAAATGTGAAAAGAGGAGCAATCCAATGAGCAGCTGACATCGTGATCACTGAACAGCCGATACACACTCCAGTGAGATAACAGACCCAAAGCAGTGCTGGGGTTTATGAGCCGATAGACACTCCTAACATGAAGCAAATAACCCAGCTATCACACTACACTGCACACATTTTAATAGTACTTGTTTTTCATTCGATTTAATATGTTTTGTCTGCACTGAGATTTCTTGTATATCTTCATTTTATCACACGATTCACTGGAATACTCCATTCTGATTGGTCAATCATATTAGAGTGCAACAGTGGGGTTGTTACACTATTGTATCACCAAATCTTGGATTCAGTCTTATTTTTTTTTTCAACTGAGGTGCATAAGCTCCGATCAATCAGTTCAACAAAAAAAATGAACATAATATTTGGTAATAATACAGCAAGACATGTATAAGCATTTTTTTGCTGGCCATACAAATTCAGAAGGTACAAAAAGTATCCAAAAATGTTTGGGAATTTGTTATACCCTATGTGAGTCAGTAATTCAGTGTTAGTCTAGAGTGATAATATTAACTCCCATTTTCAGGAAAAGAAAATCCTCCCTGGGTCATTATTGTGTTTAAAAGTTGAAAAATACATCACCCGTGATCCTGAAAAGAATCTCCACCAATCAGAAGTTCCAATGAAGCACACAAAATTACATAATGGACTCAATCACCCTACATTTTGTTTTCATACTATATGTACAGGTTTTTCACATACATATTTTGCAATAAACACAAAAAGGTTGTTTTGATACATACAATCACCAACTTTAAATGAACAGATTTTTTCACGATGATTCAATGGGATTGTAGGTCTTGATTTTTTTATTTTTAAATGTTCATATTTCATTCTTTAAATCAAATTTTGTAATGTCATGCATCACCTCATAGCTGGTTGGTTTGGTTCATGACTTATCATTTTAAAAAATTCCTATGGGAAAAATACTTCCGGAACCAAGGCCACTCTGTTTCCTAATCTTCTCCGTCATCCATGGCAAATCTGTATATCGGAATGCTCATTCAGTAATTGAAACCGGTGTCTCTCGTATCACACCGCAGATTTGCACTTATGTTTCATACAAACGCAACTACTGGACTTGTGTGTCTATTATTGATTGCACTAAAAATATCGTCCAAGAACTTCAGTGTTAATATTTCTGTAGTACACAGTTTCAGTATTCGTCTTGTTGCTCCGACGTTCATTTCGTACACTGTAATGGGTAATTTATTTTATTAGCAAAATATATACAATAATATACAGATACTACTATAATATAAACTCAATTCAAAGTTTCACATTCACATATTTATTTGTTGAGTAGCCACATATGTTATCCCTTATTTAATTAATTAACATTATTTAAAAGTTAAAATTTGTTGACAGATTGATTTCCACATCATTTAAGTACAAAAATACTTCTCCAAACTTCTGGATGTTTGCCCTTAAACAAAAATCCTACACACACGCGCACACACACGCTACGCTACATCGTCTCTATAGGACTAATGAGGCAGCTCCTGACTGCTCTCAAATGCAGCACGAGCGCTGCATGCTTTTTTCGTTTTCTTTCTGCATCGCTCCCTTCATCATTGCCGCTTCTGTTCCCTCTTTTAATCGTTTTTACCGAGCGCACGCAGACAAAAACGAAACACTCAATTATTAATCAGCAGAATGCAGAGAGCGAAGGAGAGAGCGGGAATGATGGAGGGTGAGAGACGGAGAGCGTGAGGATGTTCTGCAGCGCTGACTGAACTGGGTCACTGAAACACTCTTCCAACGCTCATCAAATGCTCATCAAGCACACAGCAACAGCCTCCAGCCCTTCAGGAACCACTGGGGAGCACAAACGAGAGCAGGAAGTCAGGCAAGGTTTGGAGGAATATGGACTTCATGTATTCATCCTTGGGGGTTATTTATCTGCTAATCTTCGGTCAACCGAAAAAGGAAATTCTTGGTTTAAGGTTAAAATTATCAGACAAATATGAGGAAATATTAATGTTTGCCTTATATTAAAGTGTTCATCCCTTTACAAATGCATACCATGGTAAACACTAGGGGTGTGACGAGATCTCATGGTACGAGTAACGATTTGTATCGTGAAAAGCGCTATACAAATAAACTTGAATTGAATTGAATTGAATGTGTCTCGCGAGATTTGACTGGTCTCATGAGAACGTGACGATATCCTCACGCAGACCTTTCAGATATATTTGCATTACACTGGCTCGTTCACAAGTGGTGGCAGTGTTGCCAGACGCACGATAATTATCGTATTTGTACGATAATTTAGACCTCTGTACGATGTATGATCAATCATGAAAAAAATCCCATAATGTACGATCATTTCAGAATTTTGTGAAACTTCAAATGGTGGTCGTTGTAATCATAGGGCTTCTTCTATACTAATTAATCTAGCTGTGGATCCTATGTCCACCGTGCCCTGCTTTTAAACGAGCACTTAAGGTGTTATTTTAATGACAAATGTCGAGAGGGATCAAAACCTGACGCGCGCTCAGATACACGCTGCTCTTGTCTCTCCTCTCACTCAAACTGTCCTGTGCACTCGCAAATCTCTCTGTGCTCGTGCACTAGATATTAATTATTTTCACACCTGAATTAAACGTTGTCAGAAGTTATCATTGTGCACTTTTAAAAAATATCTCAAAGCAGATTTGTTCTCTAAAGGCCTTTCCTTTTTAACAAACTGGTTATTGCACTTTGTTTTACTACTTTATCTATTTTATTTGTATTTTCTTTTCTGTGAATGCACATATGCATCTCTCTGTAAAATACTTTGTAAACACTTTTAAAAAGGCCCTATATAAATAAAGCTTTAAACAATCAGACCTCCACAAATGACCAATGAAAATACTATGTGAAATTTAATTGGCTGATAGGGAAGTGAACCTGGAATTCTTTTGACAATTAAAGATGGATCTTTAAATTATTTTCAGTTTAATAATATTTAGCAATGCTAATGAAATGTGGCCTATATTAGAAATGGCTAGGAATTGGGTGCTTGGATGATTTGTACATATAAATAGCCTCTGTCCAACTGGTTGGTCTCTGAGCAATTTATCTAAAAACAACATATTATATATAGCCTATGGCTCTAAAGACTTCATATACAAGATCAATTTTATGTCATAATATGTCAGATACCTCAACTGAATTTAAAATAATTCCAATAAATTCTCAGTTGGTATGATGGCAATAGTAACAATTCCTATCAAATCAGCATCAAATGCAAAAATAGACGTAAATGATGCAAGATATAACACAATAAATGTTTTGATAGAATCACTGTTTGGACATTTATTGGAATTTATATATATATATATATATTTTTTTTTTTAATCCAGTGTTTGTTTTCAGTTCTGATTTTAGTTAGATTTTTTTTTCATGAAAACACTATAGCTACACATTCAATGGCACTCTCAAACAGTGAATATACAGTTTTATGACAGTTACATGTAATTACATTGTCTGCAAATGCATTAAACCCATAGAATATAATGTAGTAATGTTATTACAAATATGGGAAATTCATTATAGTGTTATATTTGGTCTTAAGTATAGAGAATAGTGCATCTGACCCTTATCTAAATCTGTCCTTAATCAGAAGATATATACATACATACATACATACATACATACATACATATATATATATATATATACACAGTATATATATATATATATATTTCAATCCAAGTGCACAATAGGCTATATGACCACATGAACTTTAAGAATCATATAGGCCTACTTTTTTGATGTTTGTGTTTAGATAAATTGCTCAGAGGAGTTTGACCAAACTGTTAAACTAGGTTATTTACAAATAATCCAAGCACCCGATTCATTTCTAATATTTGATTATTATGACTTAGTAGTATTAAATTATAAAGAAATTACAGATTCATCTTTGAAATCTGATAGGTTGATAACATTTGACAACTTTTAATTCAGGTGCGAAAACAATTAATATCTAGCGCATGAGCACAGAGAGATTTGCGAGTGCACAGGACAGTTTGAGTGAGAGGAGAGACCATAGACTGTATAAAAACAGGGACAGACACGTTTTAAATGTGCGCACACTCTCTGGGCGAGAGCAGCGTGTATCTGAGCACACGCGTCAGGTTTTGTGTGAGAGCAAAGGCAAGCGGGGAGATTCGCGCTCGCGCATTATATTAATGTGCTTTCGCGATACAATAATGCGCCCTCGACATTTGTCATTAAAATAACGCCATAAAGCACTATGTTGCGGTGATACGGTCCATGACGGCATCAAATCTGTACCGCAAACGGACCCCCTCAACATCTGGCAACACGCAGGCTTCTGATAACTGCGACTCAGAGGTGGAGTTTTGACCTTCCCACTTACGTACGCCTAGTTATTTATCTATTGTGGTAATTTGCAGGTCGTGTGAAAAAGTTGTTGGTCTAGAATCTAGATAAATAGCTATTCTGTACGTT